GAAAGTTACCTTATAGTAGATCTTTCTTGCTACAGATTTCTGGTCAGTAAATTAAAAATTAGTGAAACCTCCTTTTTATCATAACAAGTCTGCTTTTCTTTCAAATATATTGTGTAGGACATTTTCTACCTTTTTCATGTGAAAAATATAGTAATGAGATTAGATTAATTAGTGTTTATGATATTTCCACAGTCACCATTAATAGAAGAACTACAAGGGAAATTGGAAAAAGATCACAATGTTATTCAAGATTTAAGAGAAAAATATCCTAATATAAAATAATTTTTCCATATTATTTAAAAGAAAAAAAAACTTCTGATAACCTGAAATATCAAGATTAATATTATTCTCCAACTCAAAGATATTAGCAGAACTTACTAATTCTTATATTTCACATGAGACATGAGAAATACTTCAATTTTGAATCTTCTGTATTCTGTATATGCAATCTTTGATGGGCTAATAATTAGTTCATATATGGCCTATTGTTTGGAATCAAACAATGCTTAAGTCTTAAATTTTATGCACTAGTCAGAATGAAAAGAATAATTCACTTGCCATTGTCTTTTCTAAAAGTGTCTGGAGTGACCCAGCTCCAAACTTTTACACTATCAGTTTTACCATGTGTTCAAAACTGAAAAACACAATTCAGTATTCTGAATGCCTCACTGAAGAAAAATGAAATATTAAAAAAAATAAAGGGCTGGGGTTGTAGCTCAGTGGTAGAATGCCCTCCTGCCATGTGTGAGGCACTGGGTTTAATCCTCAACAATACATAAAAATAAATAAAGATATTGTGTCCATCTACAACTAAAAAATTTTTAAAAATCAAAAAGAGAGAAATTAATATTTAAATGATTAGGAAATAAAATAACTCATCTTAAAGGTATAAACAATAAATATGTATTATTTTTTAAAACATGTCAATGTTAAAAAAAATAGCATAGGTTTGTCACTCCCCTTTACCTTCCACCACACATATGAAACACTATTGCTTGACTCAGGATTAACCTTTGGAATCCTTTTATATTCATATTCATTCATTCTCTCTTTCTTTCTCTCCCTCTCTCTCTCTCTCTCTCTCTCTCTCTCTCTCTCTCTCTCTCTCTCTCTCTCTCCTCTCTCTTTTCCAAGCCATTCCAGAACTCAGAGTATGCTTTCATCAGTACTTCACTTTCATTTCTGATATGGGCACTACTCTTCTGAGACTGACATTGAGTCCTTTTTCTTGGTTTGGAATTAAAATTGCTAACTATGGTTTCAGCTACTGAGAGTTGTCACTGGTCTTCTACCTTAAGAGCAATCCATTCTAGCCTTTGTTGCTACAAGCTTTGTCCTGGCAACTAAATAACATATAGAAACACACACACACACACACACACACACACACATATTCTTCTAGGCAAAGGGACAAACTATTTTAAAATGTACTTGGGATATTTTTTTTAAAAAATCAGTTAAAATAAAATGTGTACTGTTGTGGAAACAACTGTCATGAATGTAACATAAATTTATACTCACAGAATCCTGGTTTTAGGAGACATACCAGGACATAGGAGGGGTGGGGTTGGGTGGCATGTAGGAAGAGAGGCAAAATGAGCAAATGGAAAAGGTTGGCCAAAGTCTTTATTGTGGTTCCATATGAAAGGTGTGGGGGTGGGGGTACAGAGGAAATAGTTAATAGTGGCTAGTTTGAGTGACTTATGATAGTTCTGCAACATAAGTGCTATACCTAGTTGTCTGGTACCTGATCCTGGAGTGATTAGGGCAATTAAACACAGGCCCAGAGAGTGAAAGTCCTCTGAGAGCTCCCTAAAGATAGAAACATGGGTTCCTGATCTCTTGGTTTGCATAGGAAAGTTGTTTGCATAGGCATATTGTTTATTAGGGTATTTGCTAACCCTGAGTGGGGTGATAGTCCTAATGGGATCAGGGATTAGCAAAGTCCCTAACAAATAATGAATGCATATATTTGTAGTTAAATATTTTGGACAAATTTCTCATTTCAGTGAAGTAGAACACACACCATGGAGGAAAATAGAGTGTCTAAATCAGTATTATAAAAAGCATATTATGGGATTTGGAGTTGTGGTTGAGTGGGAAAGTGTCTAAGGAAATAAGGGTTTGCTCTAGATTAATTGTTGACAGAAAGCAGGAGAGGGAAGAAGACAATTGGTTATCTCTGTAACTTTTACCTATAGGTAAGGGAGAAAACAATGCAAACATAAAATTGCAATTGGTAAAAAGGGAGCAATTGTTCATTTGTTTGAAGACAAAGTGTGCTTAATATTTTGTGAGCTGCAATGTGAACTCATTTTTCACTGTGCTTCGGCAAAATTACGAAGTGGACTTGTTTTGTCTTAATTATGGTTTCATAAAAATTTATCTCAAGTTTGAAATTTGTTTCAATGGTTTGTGTCTAATAGAAAATATATCAGAAAAATGTAAACAATGTGTGATAGAATTACATGTTATTTTTGTTTTCTGCATTATACCTTTCTTAATTTTATTTTAGTCCTTAAGAGTGAGTGCACACTATTTTTATATTCACAATTATTATTTTATAGAAAATAACAAATGTAAAAATGAAGAAATTGTGAATATAGTATGGTAATAATTATTGGGTTTCCTTTTAAATAATCCTCATTTCGTTTCTTGTGTGACAAGATTGGGTGTGGTAGTATGAGGATAGAGGAAGTACAAATCAAGCTTCAAAATGATCTTTTGAGGAAAATAGAGCACAATTTCTTTAAGTAATCTTGTAATAAGATTTTTTGTCTAATGAAAGAAGAACTCATACTGAGAACAAGTATTATGAAAAAAACTGAGCATCCATTGCAATTCTTAAAGACAGTAAAACAATAATTTCCTTTACAAGATCAAGGCAAAATAAAATTTACTGTTTATCAAAAATAATTTTAAAGGATTAGTTTGCAAATCTGATTTAGAAATAATGTCTATTCTTACAAAGGTACATTTCCTTTCCCACAAACTGAAGGTATAAATAAAAAATACCACCTATTAGCAACATGACTTGATGTTGGAAAACAGAAAGAAAGAAGAAAAATGATAATTTTTATTAAGACATAAGCATCGGTGGTTCATAAGACAAATAGAAATGAGATACCCAGTGGGTGTCACTGTCTACTGATTCTCAGGAAGTCATATGTAGAAATTAAGGGTAAAATGATGAAAGGTGTAGACACATTTTAGAACTCCAGAACCTCACTACACCACATCTCATAGGCTTCATAGTGTAAAATGTGATTCTGCTTGTATTAATAGTAAACTTAAAGCATAAGTCTCAAAAATCAACATTTGTGATGTATCCTAAGCCATTCTACAAGTAACTGGATAATACTATTTCATATTATGACATTTCATGGTTTATAAGGATACATTCACATATATTATGTGCACTTTTTTTCTGCATAGTAACTCTATAAAATAAGGGTGGAAAGACTTGTTATTCTAATATCTTAGTAAGATTTCAAGAGTGACCACATTCTCATGACTTTCCCAAGATAACCCAATTTTAAGGGGTAAACTGAAGTTCCAGATCCAGGTTGGCTATCTACTTGCCTTCCTTCCTTCCTTCCTTTCTTTTCCCTTCCTTTCATCCTTTCTTAATTTACACATAAAAAATTGTGCATGCTGTAGGGTATCATGTGATGTTTTGACACATACACATATTGCATAATATTCAAAGCAGGTTAAACATATCTATCTCCTCAAATATGTGTCATTTCTATATGGTGAACTTGCAGAAAATTCTTTCTCCCTTCTTGAAATCGTACAAAATTATTTCTCCATTTTTGAAATGTTATCATTGTATTTAGTCCCTCTACTATGTAACCTAACTATAATTTTGTATACATTGATCAACCTTTCCCCATCCCTATCTTATGTTCACCATAGCCTCTAATAACCATCATTGTACTCTCAATGTCTATGAAATCAACATTTGAAAAAAAATCTACATATAAATAACATCATGCAGTACTTGTTTTTCAGAGCCTAGATTATTTCATTTAATATAACAATTTCCAGTGGATTGCATTTTTTATGGTTGAATAGTATACAAATGCATATATGTAAACTATATTTTTTTATCAATCAAGTGATGAACATTTAGATTATTTTCATTTCTTGAACAGTATGAATAGAGCTGCAGTGGACACAAGAGTTCAGATACTGCTGATATTTGCTTTGGAAATAATACTTATAGTGGGATTGTTGGATTATACAGTGGCTATATCTTGAATTTTTAAACAGTCTCTGTGATGTTTTCAATAAAACTGTACTTATTTACATCCCCACCAATGATGTGCAAGGATTCCATTGTCTCCATATCCTTGCTAGCATTTTTTATTTTTATTATTTTTGATCAGAGTCATTATTGCAGGGATGATGTGAAATCTCACTGTGGTTTGATATGCATTTCCTGATAATTAGTGAAGTTGAACATTCTTTTATTTTTTGCACCTGTTGACCATTTGTATGTCTTCTGAGAAATGTCTATTTAGACATGTCCATTTTTTAAATCTGATTTTTTATTGCTATTGATGATTTGGAGTTCCTTATAGATTCTGGATATAATTGCATACTTTGAAAAAAGGTTGTCCCATTTTTTAGGTTATCTCTTCACACTATTAATTGTTTCTTTTGATGTGCAGAAGCTTTTTCATTTGATGAAATCCCTTCATCTAGTTTTGCTTTTTTCTCCTGTGCTTATGGGGATCTTGTCCAATCAATTTTTGTCCCTACCAAAGTACTGAAGTATTTCCCCTATATTTTTGTCAGTAGTTTTATAGTTTCAGGTCTTATATTTAAGTCATTAATCCATTTGAGGAGTTTTTGCATATGATAAAAGATAATGGTAAAATTTAATTATTTTATATATGGTTATCCAATTTTCCCACCACCCTTCATTGAAGAGACTAACTTTTCTCCACTGTCAGTTCTTGGCCCCTTTGTTGAAAATCAATTAGCTGGGATTCCTGACTTGGTGTAGGGCAGACAGGGTGGGGACTGGCCGGGGAAGGAGTCGTGCGCTGCTGGCCTGCGGCGGGGCCCTGTGGCGGGGCTTTGAACTGGGAGCAACGGTGAACGGAACTTTTGGAAGTAGTGCCGGCGGCTCTCCACCCCCAGTACAGAACTTGTATGGATCAGTTTGCTAAGGACGTGCGAGATTTGAAGAGCTGAAAAAAGTCAGTATTAAACCTGTTTTTTAAAAATATCTTCATCCAAATTTGCCATTGACAAATAAGAAAATGATGAGTGATGCAAGTGACATGTTGGCTGCGGCACTAGAGCAGATGGATGGTATTATAGCAGGTTCTAAGGCCCTGGAATATTCCAATGGGATCTTCGATTGCCAGTCTCCCACCTCTCCATTCATGGGAAGTTTGCGAGCTCTACACCTTGTAGAAGATCTTCGTGGATTGTTAGAGATGATGGAAACAGATGAGAAGGAGGGCTTGAGATGCCAGATTCCCGATTCTACAGCAGAAATGCTTATTGAGTGGCTTCAGAGTCAAGTGACAAATGGACACTTACCTGGGAATGGAGATGTATGTCAAGAAAGGCTAGCTCGCTTAGAAAATGATAAAGAATCCCTTGTTCTTCAGGTCAGTGTGTTAACAGACCAGGTGGAGGCTCAGGGAGAGAAGATTCGAGATTTGGAGTTTTGTCTTGAAGAGCACAGAGAGAAACTGAATGCCACAGAAGAAATGCTGCAGCAGGAGCTTCTGAGTAGGACATCCTTAGAAACTCAGAAGTTGGATCTAATCGCTGAAATATCCAACTTGAAGTTAAAACTGTCAGCTGTAGAGAAGGACAGACTGGATTATGAAGACAGGTTTCAAGACACAGAGGGACTAATTCAGGAGATCAATGATTTAAGGTTAAAAGTCAGTGAAATGGATAGTGAAAGACTTCAATATGAAAAAAAGCTTAAGTCAACCAAAGATGAACTGGCATCTTTAAAAGAACAACTGGAAGAGAAGGAATCTGAAGTAAAAAGGCTGCAAGAAAAGTTGGTTTGCAAGATGAAAGGAGAAGGGGTTGAGATTCTTGATAGAGATATTGAAGTACAAAAGATGAAAAAGGCTGTGGAATCTTTAATGGCAGCAAATGATGAAAAGGATCGAAAAATAGAAGATCTCCGACAGTGCCTAAACAGGTATAAGAAAATGCAAGACACAGTGGTACTGGCCCAAGGTAAAAAAGGCAAAGATGGTGAATATGAAGATCTGCTCAATTCCAGTTCCATCTCTACTTTGTTGGATGCACAGGGCTTTAGTGACATAGAGAAAAGTCCATCATCTTCCCCAGTAATGGGATCTCCCAGTCGTGACCCATTCAACACAAGTATTCCAGAAGAGTTCCACACCAGCATCTTGCAAGTTTCAGTCCCTTCATTATCGGCAGCAACTATAGGAGTGGAAACTCCTGAAAAAACCAAGTTGCCTCTTAAACCAGAGACTTCATTTGAAGAGAATGAAGGAAAAGCAATCCTTGGTGCTGCTATTGAAACCCAGTTGTGTGATGGTCTTTTAACTTCAAGTCTGCAAAAATCCAGCAGCCTAGGCAGTCTGAAGAAGGAGACAAAAAATGGGGAAAAGGAGTCTATTCAGAAGCCTTCAGAGGATAAAGCTTCAGGAGAAAGTAGCACATTTGGGAGCCTCCCTCCCAAAGTTCCAAGACGAGATGCCTCCGTGGATGACAACCCCTTTGGCACTCGAAAAGCAAGATCTTCCTTTGGCCGGGGCTTCTTTAAAATCAAAAGTAACAAAAGGACAGCAAGTGCACCAAACTTGGCTGAAACAGAAAAGGAGACAGTGGAGCACCTAGATCTGGCTGGGACATCTTCTCAGCCCAGAGATTCACAGGGAAACAGTCCTTTCCAGATATCTCCACCATCTCCAGATTCCAAAAAGAAATCCAGAGGTATCATGAGACTCTTTGGAAAACTTAGGAGAAGTCAATCGACTACGTTCAACCCAGATGACATGGCTGAGCCTGAATTCAAAAGAGGAGGGACAAGGGCAACTGCAGGCCCCCGATTGGGTTGGTCTCGAGATTTGGGACAGTCTAACAGTGATTTGGATACACCATTTGCCAAATGGACCAAGGAGCAAGTTTGTAATTGGCTTGCAGAACAAGGCTTGGGATCCTACCTGAATTCTGGCAAGCACTGGATTGAGTCTGGTCAAACACTTTTGCAGGCTTCTCAGCAAGATCTAGAGAAGGAACTTGGAATCAAGCATTCACTTCATCGAAAGAAATTCCAGCTGGCACTGCAAGCTCTAGGATCCGAGGAAGAAACCAATCATGGGAAGCTGGATTTCAACTGGGTCACTAGATGGTTGGATGATATTGGCCTCCCCCAGTATAAGACCCAGTTTGATGAAGGACGGGTGGATGGTCGAATGCTACATTACATGACAGTTGATGACTTACTGTCTTTGAAGGTTGTGAGTGTGCTGCACCACCTCAGTATCAAAAGAGCCATTCAGGTCCTGAGGATCAATAACTTTGAACCAAATTGCCTACGAAGACGACCATCTGATGAGAGTAGCATCACCCCATCTGAGGTTCAGCAATGGACCAATCATCGAGTGATGGAGTGGCTGCGCTCTGTGGATCTGGCAGAATATGCTCCCAATCTCAGAGGCAGTGGTGTCCATGGTGGGCTCATGGTTCTAGAACCTCGTTTTAATGTAGAAACAATGGCGCAGTTATTAAATATTCCACCAAATAAGACACTGTTGCGAAGACATTTGGCCACTCATTTTAATCTCCTAATCGGTGCTGAGGCCCAACATCAGAAGCGAGATGCCATGGAGTTACCAGATTATGTACTTTTAACAGCTACTGCCAAAGTGAAGCCAAAGAAACTTACCTTCAGCAATTTTGGGAATCTGAGAAAAAAGAAACAGGAAGATGGAGAAGAATATGTTTGTCCAATGGAATTGGGACAGGTATCAGGAAGTGCCACTAAGAAGGGGTTTAAACCTGGTTTGGATATGCGCCTATATGATGAAGACGACTTAGATCGGTTAGAGCAGTGGAAGATTCGGAAGGGACAGTGAGACAAATAGGGGCATTCTCTGAAGGCATCAACAATCTCACACACATGTTGAAGGAAGATGACATGTTTAAAGATTTTGCTGCCCGCTCTCCCAGTGCCAGCATTACAGACGAAGATTCAAACGTTTGACCTGGATGAGCAGTAGGAGCCCTTTGTCTTTTTTCCACTTTATTTTTTAAATACTTACATTGTGTACTATAAGCAACAAACTGTATATTGTTTATCATTCCAACTTTTTCTTATTTAGAAGTGGAAATGGACAACAGGAGAATTGTGCCTATTCAGAATTTGCCACAAAAAATGAGACACTGGTGAATGAGAGTATAATTTTTGTTCCTCTATTTAATGTAAAAATCCATGATGTATTGTATTTAAAGTGTTGCACTTAAGATGAGTATTTTATGTTTCCATTCACATCCCAGCATGGAGGATTGGGGGAGCAGTAACCAGGGTGTGAATGACTTTGACACATCATTGCTCACTGCAGCCATCTAAGCAGGACACTCTGTGCTCAGAGGCAGTGTATGGAATTTTGTGTGCCCACTGAATGCCAGCTACACCTCCACTTGCCTCTTATCTTATTTTTATATATTTTTCTAAATATATGTATATATATATATATATATATATATATATAGTACATAGAAAATAGAACTTTTATTTTGTGACATAAGGAAGATAATGGCAAGATCACATTGAAAATAAAAACAAAATCAGATAAAAACAAAACATAGTGATCTAAATTTTCATGTTCCAGATGGTCCTTAAGAGATTTTTCTTTCTTCACAGCTGAACTTTTTAACAAAGTTTATCTTTCAGGCTAAATTAACATACATGAAATAGCCTTTTTAATGGCACCACAGAATTGTAGAGCAATCTATTTTGATTTTAATCTTGGATCCATTTACCTTACAAGGAAGAACTCAAGGGACATTAATATACCATTAACTTGAATATATTCATAAACATTCACACAGACCCCTCTCAAAATTGGTAGAGGTAATTTCTAAAGAAATCAAAAATAAAACAAAAACTTTATAGTGTTTTTTATTTTCTTCTTTGTTACATACATCATTACATCAAAGTACTAACAGTCTACCTAGATAATGGTATGTTTCTCAGGCCATCAATAAATGGAGCTTCATTTCATTTCAATCAGATTCAAAAATTCTGAGGCTGCAAAACTAATTATATAATGGCTATTTCCTTACATAAAATGTAGTTCCTGTTTTTCTATAACACAAAACTCAAATTTTCTTTATTTAAAAAAAATAGTTGCAGCAAAAACTGTACTATTCGTGTTTTTTATGGGGTATTAGAAAAAAATCTATTTTTCATTCAGTGCTACATATGCTTATGATGGTCAACTGTGGAAAGGATGGGTGTTCACAAGATGGAATGAGGTGGGCAGTTCAGTCAATGTGAGTGAACTTGTTTATAAACTCTATTTGAATATCAGTGGTGTTATATTTTATATTGTCAGCAAGTTACCAAGCTATTCATCAAGGAACTTATAACATAGATTACTATTTATTCATAAATGAAAGGATTTGATGCTATGGGATTTCCTTTGAACTTTTTATCATTCATTACTTGGTAACTATATTGGACTCTTCCTGTATTTGGATTTTATTTTAATATGAATATATGTCACCATTTGAAAAACTCTATTTGTTATTAGAAACTGGTTGAAAATACCAGAAGACTGTTAAAAAATGCCAAATTTTCTTTATTAGAACAATATAACATAATATTTGATAAGATTAAAATTTTTTCAATGATATATTTTATTTGCAAAATATTATACACAATACTTAATTGCCTAATGCCTTTATTATCATTGTTTAATTTTTACCTGGTTCAAAATAACAGATGGGCTTGGTTTCTGGTATCGAAAATAGTAACAAACTCTTTCTCATTGGTAAACATCCATAAATTTGTTTAAGTGGAGTGCCTAACGTGTATCATTGGAGAAAAATTTGAGGTCTTTGAGAAAGATTATATGAAAGGAATATAATCAACTGAGTGGGGGAATGAGGAATCATGACAGAAAGGATATAGGAAAAGTAAACAGCAATGACTCTCCTACAGATTTGAAGCCAGTTATAGAAAAAGGTGTATGAATAATGACCCATACACCTTTGAAGAACATACTATCTTTAACTAAAATTTTGGAAGAGGGAATATCTAGGAAGAAATTACCAAAGATTAAAAGTAGAGTAAACATAACACAGAGAAGAACAGATGTTTTGTGTGAAATTGAAAACGTGTAACTTAATAAACCAGCAGGAATCTATATGAATACAGCACACCTACTTGACAAACAGGGAGCCCTCACATGTTTGCTTAGCAGTGTGTCTATATGCTTAGCTATACCAAGGAAGTATAGGGCTAGGAAACTGTGATCATATTAACAGATGTGACTTCATTGCAGAACTTTTCCTCTGAAAAAGAAGCAATTCTGAATGACATTCACATGCTTGATGTTTGGGAGCAGTATTGATTGGGTGCAGAGAAAATGGGGCAAAAAGCATCACAGCAGTTGGCTCTGAAGGACAGCACTGAGATTCTCAGCATCTGTGAGGTGGTCAGTGAAGCCATAGTCCATGCAGCTCAGAAGCTCAAGGAGTATCTTGGATTTGAGTATCCACAGAGCAAACTCTGCCCAGCTGCAAATACTCTGAATGAGATCTTCTTAATCCACTTCATCACTTTCTGCCAAGAAAAGGGAGTTGATGAGTGGCTCACCACCACCAAGATGACCAAGCACCAAGCCTTACTATTTGGAGCAGACTGGGTTTGGACTTTTTGGGGATCTGATAAGCAAATAAGGCTTCAGCTGGCGGTTCAGACTCTACAGATGGCTTCTCTTCCTCCTGAGCAGTCAAAACCTTGTGACTTCCCCAGTCCGGAGTCGAGGATAGAGGAGTCTTCCTGGAAGAGAAGTAGATTTGATAAGCTGGAAGAATTCTGTAACTTGATAGGAGAGGATTGTCTGGGCTTGTTCATCATCTTTGGTGTGCCGGGAAAACCTAAAGACATCAGGGGAGTCGTCTTGGACAGTATCAAAAATAAGACTGTAAGGAGCCATCTGCCAGGACGCAAGGCTGTGGAACAGTTTGTCCTGGAAACCGAAGATTGTGTCTCCATGAAAGAACTGCTTGGAAACTGCCTGAGTAAGCAAGATGGGCTGAGAGAGGTGGGCAAAGTTTTTATTAGCATCCTCTGAACTGGATGTGTGCTGTGACTGGCCTGTATCATAAAAAGAAAAAAAAAGATATTCTTATAAGCAAGCTCATTTACATACATCATTCCTACATGGGTTTTTTTTCCCCCCTCTTCCCTTATCCCATTGATTGAAAATGATTACCTGGGTCAAAGTTAGTTTGACAATTATTGGTTTTGTAATTATGGAACAAAAAAAAAAGAAAAAGAAGAAAAACCCTGGCTGAATTTTAGGAAATTTTATAATTAGGTTTAATCTTTATTCATTTATTCAGTAATAATTGGAAAGCATAATAAGGTTATGCATAAAGTTTGATTTGCAAAATAAAGCGTATTTGTTTAAAATAAAAGTCTAATACTCAAAAGTAAAAAAAAAAAAAAGAAAATCAATTAGCTGTAAATATGTGGATTTATTTCTGGGTTGTCTATTCTATTTCATTGGTCTATTTGTTTTTTAGAAAATACCATGCTGTTTCCAAGATTATGTTTTTGTACTATATTTTTAATTGAAGAGTTTGTTGCTTATAGATTTTTTTGTTGTTCAGAATTGCTTTAGCTACTTGGGGCTTTTTGTGGTGACACACAAAATTTAGGAGTTTTTAAAAATCAGGCTTTCCAATAATTTGCCTCATATTCAATTTATATTATTGTATTTATTATTAATATTTTACATAGTATTCAGTGACATCTGAATACCTCTGGAGATATAAACATAAAATAATTCATAAGAGACAGTTTCTATCCTTTGGAGATAAAATGCATATTGAAACTACTTTGATTCAGAATTTCTAAGAGTCAGTTAATTGTATTTAATCTATTTAATGGACTCTTCATTAGAATCCTTAACATACTCATCATTTTGATTATGCTGCTGTCCTAGAGAGATTTGTGCTAGTAAATTGGACATAAAGTTATCATGTGTAAGAAAAATACCTTGGTGTGAATAAGAAGAGAAATGTGATTAAATATTTATCCAACACTTACTATAGACAGCACTTAAAGAAAAAAAAAAAATATATATATATATATATATCTGGAAAAACAAGTATAAATATATATAATTATATATATATATATATATAATTATATATATATATATATATATATATATATATATATGATTATTTATAGATAAAATTATTTCATGGAAAATCCATGGTTATTTTATCAGCCACAGATGAGAGTTTGTTATCTTGCCTTTAGTATTTACTAGTTGTATTACCTAGAGAAAATTACCTAATGGTTGTAGTTTTCATTTTCTTTATCAACATAAAGGGCATAATAAGTACTTACCTCCTATAGTAATTGTGAGGAATGTATTTATATTTATACCATATTGTATACTACAAGTGTAATGTTTTATTACATTATTACAAAATACATTATATATTATAATATAGTATAAATATAATGTAAATATATAAATAATATATATTGTTATAAAGTATATTATACCATAAATAAAATAATATGTATGTATAAACATAAATCATATAAATATATATCATATATATGCATATATATATATATATATATATATATATATATATATAAAGCTATTAGTTAATTTCCCCTAGATAATACAGCTTGTAAATGCTAAAGAAGAGATATAAATTCTAAATTGTGGGGGCTACAACAATCATGCTTTTTCCATGAAATAATATTGTATATATGTAAGAAGTTGTTTTTCCAGAGTACTGCTTTATTTTTCAAACCATTTTTAGATACTTTCATATGAACAATGTTGTCCAAATTACCTTCAAAAATTTTCCAATGGTTACTTCCTATTATTATTGTCCTTGGTTGACAGACTAGGAACTTAAAATACAGAGAAATAAGTGAACTGCCTAAAGACTCATAGAGATATAATTGACGGAGCCAAGACTGGGTGGGAGTGTTCTCGCTTTTGGCATTTAAACCATGCTGCCTAAGTACTGCACGTATAGTTCAATGGTAGAATATTTGGCTTACATATGTAAGACCCCGGCTTTCATTCTTAGTGTTGTACTAAATCAAAAATGAATCATGATATCTGATAGAGGAAGAAAGTAAATAAATAAAATAAAATTAGGTAAATTATATAAAATGGTCAAAGGGAAAATAGTTTTGTAGATAGAAAACTTCTGTGAGAAATAAAAGAGCACAGTAATTTTTAAAATTTTAACATTAAATGAAATTTTTAGAAAGAATAAGAATATATTAATTATAGTTTCTAAAAAACATAAAGTTTAAAAAACATCAAACTGCAATATACTCATACTGTAAAAAATCATGAAAAACAAAGTGGGCTGGAATAAAAAGAGGAATAGGAAAACAAAAAAAAATGAGTATGTAAGTAGAGCAGAAAAGGGAGCAATGTATGCCTATGGAGGTAAAATTTACATCAGTTTGTTCATGTTAGTGTTACTTTATTTTCTTCATAAAAATAGCTTAATATTTTAATAATGAAAACCATCCAACAGCAAACTAGCAATTACTTAATTTTATGACTTTTTCTGAAACTTCGTCAACTTCAGTATTCTTCAGTTTTGCTCAATATCCTTGCAATTAATTTTCTGTGATATGGGACTGATTTGCTCTTTAGTGGACCACAGATATAGAATCATCACTTTTGAAAATAAATTATGCTGAACCCTCGCACAAACCATTTTCTCAGGATTTAAATATCTAAAATTTAGAATATTGATGTCCATGAAATTTAAGCTTCATTTCACATCTAAAAACTATGAGTTGATGGACTCGGGTTGTGGCTCAGAGGAAGAATGTTTACCTAGCATGCGTGAGGCACTGGGTTAGATCCTTAGCATCACATAAAAGTAAAATAAAGGCATTATGTCCACCTACAACTAAAAAATGAATATTAAAAAACTATGAGGTGAAATTGATCTCCTTTCGTGGCAATTTTTCTCAAGCTTCCACCAGCATTTACTTCTAGGCTTTTTTTCTCTCAATAAGCTTTTTAAAAAAATAATTCTAATTACTTATACATGACAGTAGAATGCATTTTGACACATAATACAAACATGGAGTATAACTTCTCATTCTTCTGGTTGTACATGTTGTGGAATCACACTGGTCATGTAATCATATATGTATAGGATAATAATGTCCAATCAATTCTACTGTCATTCAAACATCCATAGTGATTCTCCTTCCTTCACAGCCTTCTGCCTAATCAAAATTAAGCAGATCTAATAACTGTATTCTTTCTTAGCACCTGTTCTCATTGTGAATTAGCATCTGCATATCAGAGAAAACACATGGCCTTAGATTCTTCTGGATTGGCTTATTTCTTTTTTCTTTTTTTTTTTAGTGTAAATGTTGATATCCCTTAAGAATGTCATCTCAGTGACATCTAGACGAGTTGTAGAACAAATATTTGGGCAGTGTGGCCTAGCCAAGTGGACACATAAAACCAACCATCACACCTTCTTTACCTCTAATAATTATCTTCTGAAAGCCTACTTTGTTTTACCTAAATATAATGTACCAGCATTCTTATGATTCTCAATGGTATATTTTTTCCCTTTCTTATTTTTATTGGTTGTTCAAAACATTACAAAGCTCTTGACATATCATATTTCATACTTTAGATTCAAGTGGGTTATGAACTCCCAATTTTACCCTGTATACAGATTGCAGAATCACATAGGTTACACATACATATTTTTACATAATGCCATATTAGTAACTGTTGTATTCTGCTACCTTTCCTATCCTCTGCTATCCCCCTCCCCTCCCCTCCCATCTTCTCTCTCTACCCCATCTACTGTAATTCATTTCTCTCCTTGTTTTTTTCCCAATCCCCTCACAACCTCTTATATGTAATTTTGTATAACAATGAGGGTCTCCTTCCATTTCCATGCAATTTCCCTTTTCTCTCCCTTTCCCTCCCACCTCATGTCTCTGTGTAATGTTAATCTTTTCCTCTTGCTCTTCGTTCCTGCTCTGTTCTTAGTTGATCTCATTATATCAAAGAAGACATTTGGCATTTGTTTTTTAGGGACTGGCTAGCTTCACTTAGCATAATCTGCTCTAATGCCATCCATTTCCCTGCAAATTCCATGATTTTGACAGTTTTTAGTGCTGTGTAATACTCCATGGTGTATAAATGCCACATTTTTTTATCCATTCATCTATTGAAGGGCATCTGGGTTGGTTCCACAGTCTAACTATTGTGAATTGTGCTGCTATGAACAACGATGTGGCAGTATCCCTGTAGTATGCTCTTTTAAGTTCCTCAGGGAAGAGTCCGAGAAGGGCAATAGCTGGGTCAAATGGTGGTTCCATTCCCAGCTTTCCCAGGAATCTCCATACTGCTTTCCAAACTGGCCGCACCGATTTGCAGTCCCACCAGCAATGTACAAGAGTACCCTTTTCCCCACATCCTCGCCAGCACTTGTTGTTGTTTGACTTCTCAATGGCTGCTAATCTTACTGGAGTGAGATGGTATTTTAGGGTGGTTTTGATTTGCATTTCTCTGACAGCTAGAGATGGTGAGCATTTTTTCATGTACTTGTTGATTGATTGTATGTCCTCCTCTGAGAAGTGTCTGTTCAGGTCCTTGGCCCATTTGTTGATTAGGTTATTTGTTTTCTTATTGCTTAATTTTTTGAGTTCTTTGTATACTCTGGATATTAGGGCTCTATCTGAAGTGTGAGGAGTAAAAATTTGTTCCCAGGATGTAGTTTCCCTACTACCTCTCTTATTGTTTCTCTTGCTGAGAAAAACTTTTTAGTTTGAGTAAGTCCCATTTGTTGATTCTAGTTATTAACTCTTGTGGTATGGGCGTTCTCTTAAGGAATTTGGAGCCCGACCCGACTATATGTAGATTGGAGCCAACTTTTTCTTCTCTCAGGTACAGAGTCTCTGATTTGATATCAAGTTCTTTGATCCATTTTGAGTTAACTTTTGTGCATGGCAAGAGAAAGGGATTCAGTTTCATTTTGTTGCATATGGATTTCCAGTTTTCCCAGCACCATTTGTTGAAGATGCTATCTGCCGCAGTCTGGCTGGGCACAATCAGGAGCCACTTGTCAAAGGAAACTAACTTTATTTTTAGAACCACACACGCCAAACAAAACAGCCTCTCAGGAAAAACCCTCAGAGCCTCAACTGCCACCACCGGCTTTCCACAAGCCTCTCTCTCCCACACAAGCTTCTCTCCACCTCCCACAATCCTCCTGCTCTTGAGGCCGATTGGCTGGGTCACGTGGGCGGAGCCAAAAAAGTCCCCCAATGAGCAGCTCCATGGTCTGAAAGGGCAGGGAAACAGCCCAATGAGCATCACCGCAGAGGAGCCAATCAGCTAGATGTTGCTGGGGCCGAGGAGGCAATCAGCTAGAT